AAGCTGTGCAACCCAGAATCCATAGCTGATGTAGTGTTGACATCTTTACTAACCAGACAGCAGTGATAGACACACAGTGCCTGCTGTGCGGGAAATTTACTGTTAACACAACTGATAGAGTCAATCTTGTGCTATTCCCTGGAAAAACACATCCAGTGGAAGAAATAAGATTTTCACATTAAGACTTGAAACTTAATTTTTGCACAATAAAACATGGCAAAAGGTCTTTGCATTTCTCTCTGAGTGTGACGGCTGTGACACAGTGATGTTAGGGAAATGCAGCTGCATCCGTTTTCGATCGTAACATTGTAACATCATACATGTCATATTTGATACATGAGTTTCGGGGACCTATACATCATCAGTGTTATTTTTAACCCTAACCCCCTTATATGTCCCCTTATATGAAGGGAGGGAGTATGTTCCATTTGTGTGTGTGTTTGTCTGTTTGTTAGCAGCCTAGCATCCACAGGTTTCACGATATCATGTTAAAGTTTTGTGTGATAACAGATATCAGTAACAGCTTGAGCTAATTTCATTTTGGTGACTAATTGGGTCAAGCTCATGCACATGTGAAAATCAGTTAAAAACGAATATTACCCACAATTTTCTATAGATCATCTTCAAACATCACAACTTTATAGCATGCCTTGGCAGTCATGAGCAGGCTAAGTGCTGGCACCATCAACTTCCCTGTTAGTGCCTAAGGTCAAAACTGACCATGAAGAAAACTTTTGAGAAACTGTATCAAACAATATATCGTATGAAAGGTCATGTAGAGAGCTATGTTTAAAGATAATAAAATACACCATTTCAGTAGGTAATACTTCAAGGTCATAGGGCAAAGGTCAAGGTCACATGAATCAGGAAAAAGCTTTAATTTCTATTGGTGTATTTCCTAACTTTAAAGCAATGTATTAGTCAGTGGGGGACATAAGCACTTTCTTTGTTTGTACAAAATTATATGGCATCAAAGTTACAAATAAAAACGATTATACTACACCAGATTTCCACATTGACAATGCTGACATCAGCACATTTTAGGGGGCGATCGTGGCTCAAGAGTTGTCAGTTCATCTTGTGATCGCAAGGTTGCCGGTTCGAGCCCCGGCTTGGACAGTCTCGGTCGTTGTGTCCTTGGGCAAGACACTTCACCTACCGCCTACTGGTGATGGCCAGAGGGGCCGATGATGCGATATGGCAGCCTCGCTTCTGTCAGTCTGCCCCAGGGCAGCTGTGGCTACAACTGTAGCTGCCTCCACCAGTGTGTGAATGTGAGAGTGAATGAATTGTGGAATCGTAAAGCACTTTGAAGGTCTTGAAAAGCACTATATAAATGCAATCCATTATTATTTAATAAAAACACCATAAAATATCAATATCTTTTGAATTGCCCTTGCCCTTCAGGGGGAAGGTGCAATCTCTGAGTGTTTGCTTTGTATACAATAAACATTAAAATTGCACAAAAATGCCAAATGTAGCAAAAATTACGCAAATTGTTATTTAATTTCTTTTTTTAATTGTAAGATGGTTCAATAAACACTCCAGTTTTTTTAAAAGAGAATTATTTTAGCAATTTTTTCACAGTTCAGGCTTTAAAGGGTTAAAACAAATACAAGAAATCCAAGAGTGTAAATCACCGCAAATGAAGGCCCACATAAATGTATTAATCAGTGTTGAAAAAAGATGAAAGCAGGTGGGCACATGAGCAAAAATAGTGCTGATAAAACAACATAATGAACAAGACTAAGCTTTCAGCAGCTGTCCTAGCATCTTCGTGAGAATGTAATGAGATAATACTGGCATCAAAAAAACATCACAGCTACAATAACATAAAGTAAAATGCTCATTGTGTTAGTTTAGAGTTTTTAGCAGTTTTTCATCTGCTCGTTAGGACTAACTATAAACTGTATATAGATGATGGACATGGCCTTATGCTCCTATAGCCTTGAGTTGTGGAGCCAGATGTGACCAAATTTAGACAAGCGGGTGGTCAGCAAACTGGCCCATAAGCCTTATGGGTGCAATGCATAGATACAGCTACCTGCTTACTGGTGCAAAAGGCAGACCAATAAAATATTAGAATTTCATTCACAAATACCAGAGCAAAAGCTTAGACAGGCCATACCACACAGCAGGTCATGCTGTTTGTCATGTAATTTATTTAAAAGGCACCTGCAGAGCAAACACTGTGAGATTCACCAGATGGTTGTCAGTTACCCCTGCCTGTATCGAAAGCCTTGTCAAACCTTAACAAAACCCAAAGAATCCAAAATTACAAAGTTATTTCAAAAGGGAGAAACTATGCACAGAGGTTTTTGCACCAGGCTACAAATCTGTTAAATGCATCTCATTACTCGTAGAGATCAATTCATTCACTCACCAGCCTCAAGCAACCAATCGAGAAACTGCAGTCCAGAACTCATAGTATTGCTCTTACCACACATATTGGGGAGTCGGGGTTGGGTGGGGGTGGGTATATTGGAGAAATGGAAATTCTGACATAATGATGGAACCAGACAAAATGTCAGATATATTTTATCTGTGAACTTAAAAATTGGCATGTCAGCAAGTTTCAGGGTTGCTTTCGAGATATTTTACTGGATAAGTGAAAATTCTGACCTGCCGCTGATTGCAGAAACAGTCGGGGACCACCAAAGTCTCATATCCATTAGAGAAAAGGATTATCTGCACAGTAATGTCACAACATAACTGTTAGGACTTTTTCAGTGTAGATGAAAATGCTGGAAAGATCAGCATGTCTTTAGTTTTTGTAAAAAATAGTTTTTTACCTCAGCGAACTGTGTCAGAAGGTAAAGAGCAATCGGATATGAGGTGTTGTGGCTTGTTTTACTGCAGGCAGTGTTTGCAGTTAATCATTTAGCAAAGCAAGGTGAGGGTGATTTAGCACCCCATCCTTTATTTATTAATGTTAAAGAAGAAAAGCACACAAACATAGCCATGATTTGTTTGCTGTCACTACTTTCTTTTTTTTCTAAGGGGACTGAAGCTGTCAAGTGAATGGATGAGGGCATTGTTGCTTCATTTTAACCTGCGGGAATACACCTGTCTGTATCGTTTAAGCCTTGTAGTTTTACCAGATGCAAGCCAACAAAGAGAACCTCAAAATCCTTCTCTCTCGTCCCCCACCAAAACTCATAATGGGATGTTCTTTGAATTACTTCTCCCACTCTATATTCATATCTGCATTATTGAGCTAGCCGATGCACACTCAGGACCGAATCACTCATAAAATACAATAGCGAATGATAAAATGTATCCAGCAGTGAGGAATTGATTGAAGTTGAGGCAGGCAATTAGTTTCATTGATAACTGTACCGGTAGGGAAGAACACACCGAACACAGGAAGACATAGTGCATCTCCTGAATGGAAACAGTTCTATTACTCTCTGTCGGGTGTCCTCACTTCTCTCCTCGCCATTCATCTGCAGATGTAATGACCAAAGAAAAGAGCAAGACGATGATCTGTCAGAGTGATTCACTGTCAATTTACTGGGCTTTCTATCCTGGTCTGCTTTGTGCAGCAGCCGGTGACATGAACCCAGCCTCCTAATTCTTCTCAAAATCTACATACTGACACTTTATAATAGCACAGTGATGATTTCGAGCGGTTGAGAGGAGATGATTTTTCAGGAAAAGCTTTAATTGGCCCGAGTGTGCCATCAGACAGTTATAAGTGCACTGGTGATAAGTGGCTCAACTGGGACAGACTATGTTGTGACACGCAATCTGGTGTTGTACAGCGTTGTGACTAACAAGGCTGTTTTTTGTGTAATTGTGAGTAAAATTTTCACTTAAAAGGAATCACTATTTTAAATTCTTGGTGACTTGAGAAGGGTTTAATTCTCACAGAAGTGGTTTAACATATTCAATTAAACATTCAGCATCTTCTTTTGCAGTCTGTATTCGTAGTCTAAAAAAAGAAAGGTTTTTTTTCTTAATTCAGTCTATGACCTCAAGGTTTTGTATTATCCCGATCTTAAATAGGGATAGAATATGTGATTTATATCATATACATTGACTATAGCCAAACATCTGCAACCAAACCTGTGCTCAACTAGCCTATTGTCTGGGCCTTGAATCAAAAAAAAAAAAAGAAGTAAAAGCATACATGGTCTGACTGCAGACTTCCAAGAAACACAACAACAAGACAAACTCTTTTGCAGCAAGAGTTTGTCCTCATGTGCTGTGCAGCAAAGCAGTACAGCAATGCGACTTATTCTAGATTAGATGGTACCTTAATAAGTCACGTGTACACACACAGCTATACACAATACAAAGTAAATTCTTTTTAAAAATTAAAATATAGAATGATGATGATAACAAAATACAAGCCCTTAGGGATTCAAACAAATAAAAAAAAAAAACCAGGAAGTTATAAATAAAGATGGAATTCAGTCAAAAACCGATTTACGTAAGTTAAACAATATTCACATTACAGCCAATTACGGGGCTTTATTGAAGAGAAATGCTTCTTGGAAATAAGGGGACTGGCGCCATTATGTGGCATGATGTAAAATTACAGGAGTCTACTATCAACAATCATAGTGGGCGAGAATATAAGGTTCATAAGGCTGCACAGATATGGACAGATATAGATGGTTTATCCTGCACTCTTAGGAGTGGAATCAGATAAACGTCACTGGTATTTAAAATGCTTATTAATTGATGGTTATTCGTTTTTATACGCTAGAAAAACAATTATAACTCAGTCTGCCCCAATAATGTGCACAGAGTGATCGACTTACAAAATACGTTTATTTATGTTCATTTGTACTCCACAGCAACGCGTTAAAACATTTTTGTCACTCCCTTCTCTACAAAGGCCATACTATTACTTTTTTCCCAAACTCTTGCACCTCTAACCTTTAAATTGCCGAAGGCAGGCGACATTCACATGCAATTAATGCAAATCTGCGGTCTTTAAACAAAGCTAAGACCAGAGCGCAGTTAACCAGAACCGCTGTGAGTTCATCCATCCCATTTCCTGGACCAAGTTCCTGAGGGAGGGCCGGTTTGAGCAAGCATGGGAAAGTTCTCCCCACTTTTTCCGATTACATCGATTCTTTTTAAAGAAGGCAAAACATAACCCGACCGGAGCAGCAGTGTAGTCCACCACTGGATAGAGCGGAGGTGACATTAAAGACGCACTGTTTGCTGGGACCCGTGAGGCTGTAAGGAGACAAACCCGGCTTCTAGAGAGAGAAAGGTGAGAAGGTTTTCCGTGAGAAAAAAAAAAAAAAGGCGGGCATATACACTCTATACAGTTCTGATTAGTTGTCAGTGACTGAATTATACTCTACGTTGTTTGACATATCTTTATTTATTGGATTCCTTTTTTTGTAATTAATATTAACTTAGTAATGTTTTTTAAAGCGATTTACACTTGGGCTGAAACCTTAAAACCATCTTTTCAGAGATGGATGATAGGCTAGTCCTAGAATAAAATCTATTTTCAATGGAGAATTTATTCTTTTTGATGGCTTGTTAAAGTTGTTCTTGAACTTTGGTAGATCTTACAACGAGTCTGCTTCTTATTCTTTTCCTTCTGTGTTGTTAAAGTCAGACAGTAATAAGCCAGGCGGCTTTAAAACTACTTTAAAAGGGAGACCTGCTTCACCTTAATTTGACTTGTTGATTATTTTTTTCTTTTGTGTTGTTGCTTTGATACTTAATATGGATGGTCTGCTTTATCAACTCAATGCTATGCTTTTCCCATCTCCTACAGTGACCTCCAACTAGTCTGCTGATATTCTGTGGTATGTTTTGTAGAGATAACAGCCATCCTCGAGACAATACCCCCGAAAGAGGATCAGTCAAGTTAGTGATTTCTGTGCCTGTTCAGCTGGGGCCAGTATCCCTGACAGTTCATTGAAACTCCTCGTGCTGTCAGAAGAGTTTTTAGTTTTTCCTTCTCACGGGGGAGAAAATAACAGACAAATATTAATAGAATAAACAAATAGACAAGTGTCACAGCAGAGCCTGAACTCACTCACACAGGATGTTTATTCAGTTGTGTGTGTGTGTGTGTGTGTGTGCACGCGCGCTGAGTTTCCCGACAAGCCACCGACTGTGTCATTTCTCGTTAACGATTTCCACGGCTTCCATTTCCATTACTGACAACATTTTATTTTTTAAAATGAAATCAATTAAACTGTATAATTAAAGTGTGCATAAATGAACTGATTCATCCAGCCCAGAATAGAATATATTCTTTGTGCCTGCATTATGTAAACGTTGCCTCATTTGGACTTGTTCACCCCGGTTTGCTGCGAACAGACAAAGTGTACACCCCTTCCCATTCATTCTAAAAGCTAACTTTGGCAGCATATGTTTTTGTTTTAGTTCATTTTAGTGGGGGGCTCACTTTTTCACGTCTCCATGATGAGGAGTTGGGGCCCCACCTTAACAAGAGTGTGAGCTCATGGAAGAACTAATAGGGGGGCTTCAGCCAGATATACGTTCCTCAGCAAATAGAGACACCATTATGCTGAAAAGGTTGGAGAAACTTAGCTCATTTGCTGCTTATAGGTGTGATTAAAGGTTTATGCTCTGGCTATGAGTTTTGAAAAGCACTAACAATTTTGTAATGGTAATAACAATGTGCCAGGTAGGTGATTAAGTGTAACAATGGTTCAGCCTGTTTAGCGACTGAGCAGTCAAGAAAACGAGGCCATATGACCCATATTAAAAACTAGACCTGTAGACAAGTTTAATGGGTTCATGCTACCTGACTGAACAGCTTTCACTTGAGATTAGAGTTTGAGGTGAAAAAGGTGTAGATTGTGATAGGTTATTACTTATATATGCTACAAAATCCTACCAAAACTTATGCACCTTTTGTGGGTAACTTTAATGACCTGTTGTCTCCATGTTAGGAGCAGAGGATGTCCAGAGCTGACTGGTCCTTCCTGGAGCACCTGCTGGAGGAGGGCCAGGAGTATTCAACAGCTATTGGCCGGGTCTGGCTTACCGTACTCTTTCTGTTTCGCATGCTGGTACTGGGAACTGCTGCTGAGTCTGCCTGGGATGACGAGCAAGCAGACTTTGTTTGCAATACCATCCAGCCTGGCTGCACTGCTGTTTGCTATGATAAAGCCTTCCCTATATCCCACTTCCGCTACTTTGTCCTCCAGGTCATCTTCGTCTCCACGCCGACCATCTTTTACTTTGGATATGTGGCTATAAGGGCTGGGAAGGACAGGAGAAAAGATGATGAGAAGCAGGCTGAAGAAGGAGGTGCTGGTGGAAGAAAAAATGGGCAAGTTCACACAGAAAGAGGCGATATCACAAAAAATGAAGAGACAGAGAAAGAAAAGAGTGGCATGAAAGGCAGAAGGCTAGAGAAATTTTCCGAGGTGCCCAAACTGAAAGGCAGGCTGCTGGGAGCATACGCATTCAGCATCTTATTGAAAGTCCTCTTAGAGGTCGGCTTTATTGTTGGGCTTTGGTTCCTTTACGATGGCTTCTTCATTGCACCAAAGTTTGAGTGTAAAAAGTACCCTTGTCCCCACACGGTGGACTGCTTTGTGTCTCGACCCACAGAAAAGACTATTTTCACCATCTATACTCAGGTGATTGCTGCCATCTCCCTGTTACTAAACCTCATCGAGCTCCTCCATCTGCTCCAGCTTGCCATCGCCTACCGCCTGGAGAAACGCCAGCAACAGGACTACCTACCTCGGCCCGAGCGGGAACCGGTGCGACAAAAGACTCCAGAACTCCAAACGCAGGCATCACAGGCTTATAAAGCAGGGAGCCATATTGAGCTCGCCGTGCAGAGTGAGGCTGCACGCTGTCCAAACCCCTGTGAGCGCTACGGGGACATGCCCATAGAGGTGAACTGGGGAACTGGAGATGCTGGGAGCGACGCGCTTCCCAGTTATGTGAACTGTATGGGTGCTATGAGAAAGACACATTCCCCTAGAGTCCATTATAAGAAACATGTACACCACACGGGAAAAACTACTAAGGGTGCTCATAAGGGACACTCAAAACAAAAGCATTATGTATGATGTAGTCAGTCAGACTGATGTTTCTATGGGAGTGTTTTTTGGGCTTCAGATTTTTTTTTTATAAATATTTTCCTGCACACTTGACTATCAGAAGTGCACAGTAAGATACAGAAGAACAGCTACTGTACTGTGAACGTAATGCCTCAGAGGCTGACAGACACTCAAACAGAGATTTATCAGATAAATGGACCTATTCAAAATGAAAAATTTAAAGAGCACTCCCCAAGGCAAAGAAAATGAGACTCCACAGTGAGAGAAGATTAAAGTCATAAGATGCCTTAACGTTACATTTAATGGGTTTTTAGTGCTGAATGTGAAAGTGGGCTTTGGAGAGGGTGTTGTGTGAGAGTTTACTGGAGAGCTAAATTTAAATATACTCCCTGGAGATTTGCACTGTAACTTCTTTTTGAAGCCAGTTCTCTCCCAAAGGCTCTGTCCACCCTGTGGAATGTACTGGTCTCTGGATCACGCTCAGGTCCCGGGAGGATAATGACTGCGTGGATGCAGGCACGCATGCATGCATGCACACACACAATATAATTTCCCAACGAGTTTTTGCCGCTCAAGTTGAGGATGCAGGCTTGGAGAGCAGGAGCAGAGGGAAAGGGGAAACCAAACTATGGGACTTATTATCGCCAATAACCGCAGCATTATATCTACAAAGAAAACAGAGAGAAGGAAAGCACAACACACAGACAGGCATCCATTTGAATGAATGAAAACTAAACCTTTAGTCGGTTAGAGGTTGATCTTGCGCCGCGACCGGGGCTGAAAGCGGTACAGAAATGTACAAATTCAAAGAAAGGAAACGAGTTGTTCTGTGAAAACTGTATTTAATGTTTATTTTTGAGATATTGCAAAGTGATAATATTTATTATTTTTTTGAAGAAATAAAGTTTAAAGTATAATGAACATATGAAAAAAAATCAATAACTGCATCACAGATATACTTTCAGAACCTTTCAGCCTGCTTTGTGTTCATCATGGTTTTATTCCCTTTCTTTCCCAAACACAGGGATGAGATTTCTACGGGGGAAAATCTCTCTTAAGCGACTGCTCACTTGCTGCTATCCAAATACTGTCTCCGCTACAGGAAATTAATCATTCAAGAGGAAGATAATAGAATAAATAATAGAAAGAGAGAGGTGTGGAGGAGAGGATGGGTTTTACACGCTATTATGAGCACAACCAACTGAGGGGAGAAAACGGGGGAAAAATGGAGGGAAAACACTTTTGACTTAATGGCTGTTTTCAAATATGTAACTGTGGCTGCACAGGCAACAAGGCCATCACTCAAAATGCCAGTAAAAGTTCATACGAGGAAGAATCGCACTTTATTCAGGCTCTATTTAATTTCCCCTGGAGTCCACTGCACTGATGGCCAACGGTGTTTTTTTTTCTTTTTCTTTTTGATGAAAGCAATTGATAAAATACAGAACTCAGCACCTTCGACAAAAGGTGCTCGCCCAGCCTCTGAAAGAATGTACTCATACGTCTTTTTTAGATTTGTAGCTCTGCAGCAATACAGCATTCATTTCCAGCAATTTACTGGACTGTCGATATGATGATAAGCAGTTATCTATGGCAGGAAAGGTGGTCGGTGGGAAATTCAAGTGAGGTGCGTGTGTGCGTGTGTGTGTTTGAGAGGTCAAATCTGCAACAAGCAGCTGAAGAATCTGACATTTACAGCAGTTTGTCAAAAAAAAAAAGAAATGTTATAGTGTGTAATAATAATAATAGGAAGCCTGTTTCTGTGTGCTTAAAGTGGAATGTGTTTTTATTGCAGGAGCATGTCAAGGATATATTGGCAGATACTGTTGAGAAAACAATCCAAACAGCCTGCTGAAGCTGCCCACTTTAATGCCTGTTCACGAGAACTTGGCTAGCATCTGGCATTCCCGTGCAGCCCTTTTTTATTCTGTTTCTTTTTAAATCTCAGTCTGCATTCGCGTGTATGTGTCCGTGTAATTGTTTGTGTCTGTGTTTCCACAAAAAAGCCAAAAGGCCAAGGAACAGATTGCGCAGGGTGACCCGTATCGGCCCTCGCTCGCCTGCTGGAGCCAGACACCGAATAGCTGAAGTAGCTTTTGCGTCCGTCTTCCTCAATAGCCCATCAAGGTGGAGAGACTCGACGTCCTGCTCTACTCTATCTGCAGACTCAACTCTCACCTCCTGTTCAGCGAGGCAAATGTAAACCTAGGAGGATGAAAACAACAGACAGTGTAGGTTATTTTGCTTCAGCCATTTTTTTTTCAGAGAAATTCATTTCCCTAGATGACAATGAAAGTGATCCGAGCACATGTTTCTCTAATGGGGCAATTGAACATTTATAAAACACTCTCACATTTATTATTAGTCTGATTACAGATTATTCATGTCTAGATTATTTCCAATGATCTAAGGAACCAGTCACTTTCCAGATAATCTGATAGAATTTGCATTTGTTTAAATATACTTGCTCTCTGAAACTAACATGAAGGGAGTCCATAAGATGGGAAGAGCTGTATTAGTGAGAGAGGCTTATACTTGTAGTTAGAAAGGCAGCTCCTGGGATCAGATGCCATTCTTACTGTGTTTCCTGACATTGTTGAATTCTCTGCTGATGCGTTTCCTCAGTCTGCTGGTGAAGCCACACACAGTGCTGGTGCTAATCACACAAAGAAAGACAGTCTTTTAGTTTGGTGAATGAGCATACAGTACGTGGATACTCGTGGGCAAAGAGCTATGCTGAAGCATTTGGAGTATAAAGGAGTTTGAAGGGTCTTTAAATATCTGCCGAGCTCTAGCAGGTATTATAAAAGGTCAGCCATTGTGCCGCCCACCTCTCATGCCCAGCACCAACCTTTGGAGGGACTTTAAAGGATTCACCTGCAATGAGTGCCAGGCTAGACAAAAACAGCCTGATCCAGTGTCATACTTCCTGCCAGCTGTACTGCTGAAAGCCCTGCATGTTTATAAGGAAAGGACCCCGAACAAGGCAAACGAGGCACTCAGATGCACAAACACGCTCTTAAGAAGGCCAGCGTTACCTCACTTCACAAAACGCTTTCAGACAGCAGGCCTTAAAACAGCAGCTACAGGCTAGGTGAGGTCACCAAAACTGTGCAATGTTTCTTTAACTGGATGTGTTTAGAAATAATGTTTCCTGCAGTATTTTAGTAGCAATACTGGGGTTCATCTAAATGTGGAAAAGGCAAAGCTTACATGTGCCAACCCCCTTTGTTTCTCTTGAAATCTATGCAAACAGTACCGACACACGAATTGCTCAGCATCCATAACAATGCACACGGTTCATGCACCACGTCTTTAATTTGGGCATTTGTGCTACTCAACAATATGCAACAGAAACACTTTGAGCAGTTCCTAAATTTAAACTGTCGACAGGAAGTGGTCCTGTATCTGTTTTCCGTTCCAGTGTTGCTTCTCCCCGGGGACTTGTTGCTGAAGATTGTTCACCCTGACAATGGAGCCGCTGTGGGCATTGTTACATTGTTTTAAATGGACTCCCCTGTGTTTGCTGACCTTATGCCACTGCTGCCCCATCAAAAGGTGATGAGGAAAGTGGGCAAAGCGCCTGCTGTGTGTGTGGCTGGAGTCAATTAAAAGAGCCAATACCTCACAAACATCTTACAGAGAGCTGTGTATATGTGTACGCCGTGCTGTGCTGCACATCAGTGTTTAAATCTGCACTGATCAATGTTTCATTTCCTCAAAAGACCAAGTGAACTTATGTGACATGGCTTGTTTGTAGTGATGAACATATGTACAACATATTTATCTGACTCTTCAGTGTACAATGGAATATTTTTAGTTTTCCATATTAGGGCGGGATTGTAGAAATAATAGGGTGGCAATTTAGTTCAGAGGTTTGGAAAGTACTCTAGTAGGTTAAAAATTGCCGGTCTGAGGCCAGATGCTGGCATCTCCTTGTCTATTATTAAGTGTTTCTGTACGAGAAAAGGGTAGCAGGGGGTATCAAAGATGGGCTGTCAGAAGTTCATATATATATACTATAGTATATTATCCTAGTATTATATATATATATATATATATATATATATATTCGTTAAAACAATCTCCTTAGTATCAAACCTGGGGCTATGTTTGTGGGTAGATGGCGGGTGTACAGTATGGTGAACACCAAAACAGACAAGGAGCTGTCAAATAGTCATATTGATTAGTAACACTCCGGATGCTTCCTTTATTACCACTTTAAGCATACATACTTCCTTTATGAAAGAAAAGGGGGAAACTCCACCACATGATTTAGAGCGGTGCACCATCCATGATTAACCCTGACTCCATGATTTGATTGCTTTCATGAAAAGAATCAAAAAACCTGACAAAGTGACTCCGATGGTGTAAATGTTAATTATAAGTGTGTTTTCCATTCCCATTTCAATAATCAACAACGGTTTGTTTTGAAATTTACAACAGCATTACTTCTTATGAGCTATATTAACCGGTGTTAATGAGTTTAAAGTTCACTTGAATTAAGTTTGCTTTAGTAATGCCCATTACTGAATAACCAACCTTTAAGATCATTTTGAATTAATTTTGTGAATTAATTTTTACCTGGCGCCAGTCTCAGATAAGTGATGGATGCAGGGAATTTTCCTTTGAATATAGAAATATGAGTCACCTCCTCAACCCGGGTAGCTACACTGCCCTCAGCTGCAACATTATTAAGGAGTTCAGTGTAAGTGTGCTTGCTGTGTATCACGCTTCTCTTTCCTTAAACATTCTCCTTCACACTTTTCCTTGACCTCACGTTTTCCACTGAGGTTTTGTTTTCGTTTTTCTTTACCATACCCACAGTTTCAAAAAGTGAGCAGTTACTTCTTTTCATTATTCTGAATGCAAACATTCAAAATGTGATTATCATGTCTGGGACAATAAACACTACTGTTCATGACAGAAAAACTCCTTCTCTAATTGTGTCATATTAAAATCTGCACATTGTTCTGTTTAGCAAAGAGATTTCGCTCGCTGGGGGCAGAGCCTCCTTTAGGTTTGACAGCATTTCTAGTAGTTAATGGAAGAGAAACAGAAGGTAGTGCATGAAGTGTGGTTCTGCTCCTGAAATTCAAATAAATAATCTCCAATGCAAATACATACAAGGTGGACATTGCGCAGCAAAAGCCTTGGCACTGACTACTGTCTGTCAGATGCGTGAGCAAAAATAATTGGAGCACATTAATGTTTGTTTGTGTTCCCTAATGTGATTTTCATAACAGGTTTTTAAGGTGATAATAAATCAGTGTGATAAGTTTGTCCTGCTGTGCTGAAAATGTCAAAAAAATACCATGAAGGGAAATGCGATTAATTTCCCTGAACACATTGCGCTAAAATGAAAGCAGTGTTTTTAGGGGAGCCAAGATGCTCCACTGATTTCACAAATACGAGACCCTTGGTATGTTTGTGGTCAGCCTTTTGCGAGTGTATACACTGCATTAGGTACACAGGTACCTGTGCTGCTGGATTTGTATTCTCTGCACAAATGTGTGTGTGTCTAGGTGGTGGTTGTTTAATAGGGGGATGCAGTGCCCTTCCAGCAGACAGACAGCTCTATTGTTCCTGCAGCAGAGGGAGCATGTCTCCAGCCTGTCCACTCAGGATGTTGGTTTGGACCTCCTTAAAAAAAAAAAGCCCAGCCAGCATCACCCACACCCATTATCCCCATCTTCCAGCAAGAACAATGGAACACCTCCCCACAACCTCCTCCTTTCCCAGGAGCCTCAAGCACTTGGTTCCCACAGTACTATCGAGTTCTGAGGAGCCGGGCCATTGTTAGCAGGCCGACCTGTCCTCTGATTGTTCCCATGAGGATACACACACACACACACACACACACAATTCTCTGTTAACTCTGGTGCATTTAGTTGCAAGCCTCACCTCCATCTCTCTATCTTCATTAGCTTCAAATGGAAACTTCCACCAGCTTGAAGTAATTGCGACTCTAAACACGCACAACCGGTGTCACTGGAGTGGAGCGGGTCATTCCACTGATGGCAAACTTAAGAGGGGAGTACAGGGCTCAAAGATGGCTGCTGATACAGCAGTATTTACCACTCTGGTGCCAATGTAAATCTGGACTCCATAATCTTTCCCATTTAACTAGCTGGCAGGGCAACATAGCGGAACTTATCTTGGCGCACTGAAAAGGTTATCGTCCATTAGGAAAGCTCCTCTGTTTCATGGCTGAGGGACCCGAGTAAACAAGTCAACAAAGGGGAGGTCAAGCCCCTGGTCACATGTTTACAGTCATAATACATGTGAAATAAAAATGCTCTTTAAAGGCCATTTTTGCCTTATGTTTTTTTAGTGATGCATATCTCATGAGGAGTGTTTACACATAAATATCAGTAGCCATTACACAGATACATGTCAGAGATAACAGCATGCCACTAAACTGCCATCATGATCTAAACCCGCAAGTAAAACCTATGTGTACACCTCCTCAGTTACTGCTGCATTATCAGCTGGCACACTATTAATGGCAGCTTTATCACAGACGACTGTTATAAGGTTTTAAGGACCCTATTAATCCCATCTGGTGGAGCACAAATATAGGTCCGGCTGTTTATGTGGTTTTTGAAAAATGATGTGCTCTTATTTTGAAATAAAGAGCTTGACTGGAGTGAAACAATGATTAGCTCACATAGGACTGGCTGAAAACAT